AAATTCATTACAGGAAGAGATGATTTTATCAGTGTTTAATAAACTAATAATCTCTATTAACTGTCACTTCCATGTGTCTGTATATACAATGTTCATTCATTTAATAGTTATTATGCTGGGGCATTTGAAAAACATCAATATCCTGATTTGGAGTCTTCACATTAAGTATGTTCTATATGCAATTTCTTTCAAAAATGCTAAATTGGATATTGTAGAATATGAATGTTCCCAGACTCAGCAGCTTGTGGTTAAGAAAGAATTCACATTGACATTTGCAACCAGATTTGATGGCTGTTTTCCTCCATCTGCCATGCAGGCCTTCCATCTAATGCAAAGTCCTATCTACTTAAATGTTTCTGAGAATCTCTAAGGAAGCTTCAAATAAGCATGGTTATTCTCCCCACAGGTCTCTGTGCTGTTCTGTTAGGCAAATACTATACTAACTTGGCTTAGGGTGCTCTCCATCTACTTGAACTTCTAAGCTACAAAGTCTTTGGGGGGAGGGAAGAAGAATGGTGGTGCTAAAATAACATGGAGTTCCCTTTGGCATCCATAGCATTGGATGTCACTTAAATTCCACTCCATGTTTCATGAAAAAGAAGGGATGAACTCCTTCTCCACTCACCATAGGCTTATGAGAGTAGCTCTTAAAGGAGCAGCAGAATCACCATCACCTGGGGACTTTTTAGAGATTCTAATGTTCATATTCACTTTAGATTTACTGAATCAGTAACTGGGGTTGAAGCCAATCTGCATTCTAAGGAGCAATGGGTGATTTTAATGTGTGTTTAAGTTTGAGAACCACAGGCATAGGGCATTGGATGCAGACCCAACATTGTCATTCATGTCTGCTTCCCCTACCCACTTCCTTAATATACTTGTGCTCAAAGATGACCACAATAAAACCTCACATTCCTGTATGTAAGACCCTGTGCAATGATATTATAGCTTCTCCCTTCAGGAACTGAAGTCTATTTCTATACCCCTTGAATATTGACTGGCCTTACAATTTGCTTTGACCAGTAGAATCTAGCAGAAGTGATGCTGTATGAATCCAGGCATCAAGAGGTGTAGCTTCCATTCTTACCCTTTCAAAATGCTGACCTGAGAATGCCATATAATGAAGCTCAGTCCAGCCTACTGGAGGATGAGAGTCCTTGTAAGGAACCAAGGTTTTCAAATCGATAATAAGCTGTCAAATATCTGAGTGAGTTTATTTTAGACCATCTAACTCCTGTTGAGTTGTCAGATAACTCCATGTACACAAATGGCCCCTAGCAAGACATTCAGAATAACCATCCAGCTAATCATAGCCCAATATGCAAACCCACAGAATCATGACCAAGTAAGTAATTCTTATTTTAACATATTACATTTGGAGTGTTTTTATGTAGAATTAGATAGATACACTAAGTTATCTTAGCAACTGATTGCAAATAATTTTTTATCTTTCCAGCATGACTATTAATCCTGTAAATTGAAATAATTTAAACAGCTCAGAGAGGACCATCTCATCCTCATAGTATTACATAATTTAAGTAAGCTGATACAAAGAAACTTGATTTGGTATTAAAAAAAAAACTTTTGGGCTTCACTTTCCATACATATAAAAGAATATTCAACTAGATGACAATTTTAATGATTATTCTAAGTCCAGATTTCTATAATTCTAAAAGGAACAGAGTTCTAGAATTCTTAGAAATTCAAATATAGTAAACTGATTTCTTCTATTCCTTAAGTAAAAAAGACGTAGCAATATATCTTACTTTTATTCCCATACATCAAAGGTTGAGTTAAATAACATTAACTGCTGGCTAGCTGTCTTTATATCTACAATTTCCATTAGGTTCTTAAACAAAGAGATAGTGCAAGGCACAACAAAACAAAACAAAACAAAATAAAGCAAAAGGCAACACAGGTTTTGGAGTCTGACACACTTGGATTGGAATCTTGGCTCAGTTTCTTCCCAGCTGTAGGCCTTAATCTAGCTATTTCCCCTCCAAACTTTGGGATTCTTATTTTTATAAAAATTGCTTATAAACATATGTTCTTTGCAATTATTTGGAAGATAAGGACATATGTAAAAGCAGCTAGCACAATAGTGTTATGAAACTCACTATGATGAATTATAAATTACATTATATTAAAATGTAATATGTGACATAATCATATATCTAAAAATAAAAGTAGCTCTGGATCTACCTGAATCTCTATTGATTCTTTTTATTCAACATTTGTGGATTTAACATTTTTACTTTATGCCCAGATCTGTGTCAGTTTACTCTAAGGGATGAATGCTCCTGCTTTTAAGAAAATTCCTCTTCTTCACTTCTTCATCTCTGGCCCAAGCTCAACCAGTTATCACCAGTGGATGGGAGCTGTGGCCATTTCCAGACTTTCACTACTGGCAGTAACGTGGAGGGACAAGGAGATGGTGAGGAGTGGCAGGGAGAGATGAGACTCTTAGGTTGGGGAGAGCTAAGTAGGACATAAAAATGTCTTCCACTGTTTGGCTACATGTACCCCTGCTCTCTGCTTTGGTTTTATTAGTCTCCTTGATATTTTTCCATCTTGCTCCAGTTCAAGGCCTTTACTCTGGTTGTTCTCTTTCTGGAGTAATTTCCCCCAGATATACATATGGCTCACTTTCTCATTACTAACAGCTTTTTGGTATTCTCAAAAGTTATTTTGGAAGAGAAGCTTCCCTGTATAGATAGTTATATTCTCATATTCACTCCCTTTGACTTGCCTCCTACCTTCTTGTTCTTCATAACAGTGTTTCTCAAACTTCAGTGTGAACACAAATCACATGGGGATGCTATTCAAACACAGATTATGAATCATTAGGTCTAGGGTGGGGCCTGAGACTCTGCATTTATAAAATGCCCATTTGACATCAATCTGTGAACTACATTCTGTAACACTTAATGTCAAGATATCTTTATTAGCTCATCACTTTTCTGTTCCAGAGTACATGTTTTATGAAAGGAAGGACTTTATCTTATTCTAAGCTGCATCCTCAGCATCTGGTATGATGTCTAATACATGAAAGTTATTCAATAATATTTATGACATGAATGAATCATACCTATTGGTGAAAATCAAAATTGGAATTTTAAGTGTATTTTCCATTAGAAAAATTATTGTTACACTTAAGCACTTTACAGGTGAAATAGATTATTGTGCTCTGGTTTGTAAACCACCTACCATGAGTAAAGTGACTTAAACAGGAACATAAGCCCATAATTATGTTCAAAGTTCAACAAACTTATCAACAAATCATTGGAATCCAATCTCTTTATAGACTTATAAAGTTGAACATATGACAGAAAAATAGCGAACAAATATCAATAATTTGTGCTGAGGGAACCAAAAATTACAGGTCTAAAAAAAGGAGCCCGAGTTTGTTTGGCTTAGTGGATAGAGCATTGGCCTGCAGACTGAAGGGTCTCTGGTCCAATTCTGGTCAAGAGCACATGCCTAGGTTGTGGGCTCGACCCCCAGTAGGGGGTGTGCAGGAGGCAACCAATCAATAATTCTCTCTCATCGATGTTTCTCTCTCTCTCTCCCTCTCCCTTCTTCTCTGAAATAAATAAAAATATATTTAAAATAATAAAAATATGAAGAAATAAACCTGGTTAATTAATTAAATATAAACCCTGATATAGCCATTTTATTGTCCAGAATGATTAAAAAAGGAATGCTTGCATATCATTTTTAAGTCTTCAACTCTGATGACTGCACAGAAGTCCTAGGGGGCACATGAAACATACTGTCCTCCAGATTGTATGGCCTCTTTTAACACAGGAACTATTTGTGCCTTCTATTGAATTATCATTGTGCTAGTGGTGTTATATTTCTCAGTAGGTGTTATATTTCTGCTTGATATAAAATAAATATAAACTTTACTTGAAGGACCAGTCACCATGCTTTTTAATACTTCAATCACTTGATCTTTTAAAAGTAAACAGGGCAAAACTACAACAACAAAACAAAGATGTTTTTAGCCCTGCATAATTATAGGATTGGTATAGCAAAGAACTTTTCTAGCTCTTTCCCAACCCCACCCCCCCACTCCCACCTGAGGCAGCCTTACCATTACAATGAGATTTTATGCAAACCTTCTACTAACAAATGACTAGAAAGTGAAATAAAAGACTGAAAATACGCAGTGAAAATAAAAATTAAAACTATAGTTAAATGAAGAAACATTCCTCCCCCATGCCTGCTTTTAAGAGTCATGGTCTATTTTTCTTTTGCTTGAATCAAAAATCAAAGAGCTCTTAAAATTGTTTTGAAATGGTATAGGGGGAGGGACTAGGAGGACTGTGTTTCTATGGTTTCAGGAATTTGTATAGGCATATTTGAAGAATATTGTCTAAATGATACAGAACTCATTGAAAATGAATCCTCATGTTTTAGTACTAGGGGGTACTCTGGTGCTCCTTCCTAATCCCCTGTTCAGAGATAATACACCCATCCCTGATGGGAGTATTGGTGGTTAATGGTGTTCCTTAACTAGCAATTGCCTTTAGCCCCAGAAAATACTTCCAAGGCCTCCCTTTCCTCCCCGTGGGCAGCCCATGAGCAATGAATAGCTGGGTCAGGAATATAAAGAACAGGTCCTCACCCTGCAATTCAGGACAGCTCTGCAGGGCCAGCACAGCTCTAAGGCTCCCATGGAATCAGCTGATGGATTTGGCCTCTATCACAGTCAAATCACCCTTCAGCCTCTTCCACTCTCTGCTCCCAAGTACCTTTCTTCATCATAGGTGTATCTCCATAAAACACATTCCAATATACATTTGCCATCCAATACTATGAGTCAGAGTCCATTTCTAAGGAACCTACTCTAAGGTATTTTGTATAGTAAATAATACAAAGGTCTATTCCTATTTTAAGAATTGCATCAAATTTTCCCTTTCACCCAGACATTGCCTCACTATTGTGCTTTTGAGCAAATGGTGACAGCCAAAGAGAATGTGATCCAGTATACTTACAGGCTCCAACAGTGGCCAGTCCAGGAGCTGGGCCAGGCTGCTTTGCTCTCAGCTCTTGAAGTAAACAGGTTACCACCTTCCACTCAGAGCTCAGATCTTCTAACTTCCTCTTTAATAGAAAAGCACACATGTTATTTATTTGATTAACATCTTAAAGATAACTTAATTCAGGAACTTATGAATTAATTTTAAGAATACATTATTGTATTTCTATTGTATTTCACCTGTAAGTTAATTATTCTGGGTAAAATTCCTTTCCAATTTACCATAATTATTTTAGCCAATCACCCTAGAAATATTTATCAATTGTTTGCTGCATACAGGTCTTTTGCTCGAGGCATAATTTCATTTAAAGGAAGTAGAATACAGACATTACAAAAATAAAAACAAGCCAACTATAAAAAAAAAAGTGTCATTTCAGCAATTGGCCTGAATCTTGTAAATAGTGTTGCTACACATGAGAATTGTCCAGAGAACATTAAAAATATTCTAATGCCCTGGCTCATGACAAATCAATTATATTAGGATCTGACAAAGGTGAGGTATATAGGCTCAGTCAATAGGGCTCAAAGTTGGGACATTTTGAAGGGCCATTTCAGCCGCAGGGCTCCCAGTAGAGTCAGCCAAGCCTGTATAGGTTAGTGCTGTGTTAGTATATGTTTACAACTGGCTTTCTTGGGTGGTAGGAAAAGGCCCTGATGTTAGTGTTTGTCCGTTTCTGTGGTGTAAATATTCCCCATAGCCACGTTTAAGTTCTCAAGATAATGTTAAGTGGCTCCCAAAATGCCTGAAATGTTGACAATTGGCTCACTTGAGGAGATACAAGCTGGTTCTAGTACACCACTGGGTAGCCATATGATGACAATAATTCATCCTTATCTGTGGAAGATGTGTTCCAAGACACCTGTGGATACCTGAAACCATGGTTAGTATGAACCCTTATATTTATTATGCTTTTTCCTTACTGTTTATATATATACACCCAAGATAAAGTTTAATTTATAAATTAGGTGCAGTAAGAGATTAAATAGAATAACTAATACTAAAATAGAATAATTATGACAATATACTGTAATGAAAGATATATGAATGGCTTTGGAGTCCTTACTAAGTAAAATAAGGGTTACTGGAATATAAGCATTGCAATACTATGACAGTCAACCTTATAACCAATGGTTACTAAGTGACTAACTGATAGAAAATGTATACAGCATGGAGCTGCTGGACAAAGGGATGATTCACACCCCAGGAAAGATAGAACAGGAAGGTGTGAAATTTTCTCATATCAATCAGAACAGCACACGATTTAAAACTTATTAATTGTTTATCTCTGAAATTTTCCAATTAATATTTTCAGATCACGCCTGACCATGGACCAGTATTTGATATTGTGAAAAGCGAAAGAAACTGCAAAAAGCAAAATTGTGGGTGCTGGAGGGTGTGTGTGTGTGTGTGTGTGTGTGTGTGTGTGTGTGTGTGTGTGTGTTATTGTACTTATTGCCAGTAGAATGTGAGAACGTTGGTTCTGGGGTGAGGCTTTTGCAAAAATGAGTAGGTTTTCCCACCCGTTCTTTCTTCCCTTTTCCTCTGGCTGGAAGCAGAGGACTTAAGGTTCTAGGGAAAATTTTCTCAATACATGGGGATTAATTCTAATGCCCTGGAGCAGTGACTTTCATAGCTTTGGGTTCATCAGGATCATCCATAGGCCTTGTTAAACCATTACTAGCTGGATTCCAGCTCCAGTGGTCTAGATTCAGTATCTTGGGTGGGTCTCAAGAACTAGCATTTCTAATAATTTTCCAGCTGATGCTGATGCTGATTGTCCAAGACCAAATCCTAAGCAGTTCATTATACCTAATGAGTTACCTAAACAGCACCATCCTTGACAAGAATAAGAAAACAGACCCACAAATAATTTTCTATAGGACTGAATTCTATTGAGGAATCCCACTTGAGAAAAGCTGCCAAGGTAATAAATGCTAAAAATTCATCATGTCCTAATTTAATTGTCATCTGTGCTTTTGATATTATTTATGTCTATTGTATCTAACATGTTGTCAATAGGGGCTTTCAAAATTCTCTTCAGAATTCATGTTAAATACTTAGTATCATATCAATGAATATAACTCTTTTTATTTATTAAAACATAAGCCTTGAATCAAAAAGCAAACAAAAATGTCTCATCAGTGTTGAAGACTACTATTGAAAGTTTGACATGTGGGAGATATTTATCCATTCTGACATCAGAGCTAAACACTGAGAATTAAATAGTATAAGCACCTAGTGAAATAATGTATATTTGATTTCTTGATTCTCTTGCAAAGATGCAGTGACTTCCCAAGGACAAATATTAAGAGCAACTAAATAGTAATCATGTTGAATACAAAAGGTAGTAATAGAAAATACGGAGAAGACAATAAACATAGAAGTAGATAACTAGAAAATGTAGTAATCTTGATCATTGAAGAGATAATGGCACAACACACAACATATGGTGAAGTCTCATCATACACCATTTAACTTATATGTAGAGGGAGGGAGGGAAGGAGGGAGGGAGGGAGGGAGGGAGAGAGAGAGAGAGAGAGAGAGAGAGAGAGGAGAGAGAGAGAGAGAGAGAGAGAGAGAGAGAGAGAGAGAGAGAGAGAGAGAGAGAGAGAGACTTATTATAGATTGACTTAAAAACTGCTGGGATCTGCCTACTATTCTACTAAGTAAGCATATGGCCCCAAAGTGAGTGGGGGAGGGGGATCAGAATTTACATTTGACTAAGGTTTCACTTTCTTTTCATAGTGCAAGCATCTCACTGTGTTGTGTCTGATTCTAATATTTAAAAGTATACAGTTATCTTATAATGTGGCATTTAGAAAAAGATCAACTACTTCATCTGGGTATTAATGGAAGAAACAGTGATCTGTATTGAACATCACAGTACATGAGCATCACTTTATAACAAAAAGAAACAATAATTAATGCTGATAATGACACCCCTTAAAATGAAGAAACATTGAAATTACATTGTGTTTTAGAACAAGAAGTCCTGGATTTCAGTTCTATATCATTACTACTGGTTGGGTGATCATTGGCAAATCAGGTCACTCAAATTTATCGCCCTTGAAACAGATATAACACTACCACCTAATTCATAGCTTTGCTGGAGAAACTAAATGAGATATTTTATGTGAAAAGAACTCTGTGAACTGTAAAGTACTATAAAATTGTTGGCTAGTTATTATGCAATACTTAATAAAGCAAATCAGAAAACAGTCAATAAAAGCGATCACTAAAATAGTTAAAATGAAAATATATCAATGCTGAAAGGACTAGGTTTTGGTTATCCTGAAAAGAACAGGTTTATATATTTAATTTCCTTTTAAACATACAAAAAGTCTGAATAGTGTATACATTTATTTGAATGTTTTCTTATACACAGTTATTTTCAGATGGGTAAATGTGGTATTATTATAATTTCAAATGTAGAGACTTTAAGAATTCAATGGTATTATGTAAGAACCACAAACATCTAAGAATAGTGCAATGTATTAAAAATGCAATAAGCTCTGAATTGTATATTTTCCAATATTTCATAATTATTAGCATACTAGAAGCCTGATGCAAGAAATTTGTGCAAGAGTAGGCCTTCCTTTCCCCAGCTGCTGGCACCGGCTTCCCTCAGACACCCGGGACCCAGGATTCCCTCACAGAGAGTGGCCCCAGTCACCAGCCACAGCCCACTGGTCAGTGGCCTGGGCCTCCCTCTTTGGGGTGATCATGCAGCCCCACCATTGATCATCCCTCTAGCGATGGCCTGGGCCTCCTTTTGTGGAGTGATCATGGGGCAATAGCCAGGCCCCTGATCAATCACATCACACCAGCCTTGGCTAGCTTCGCGTCAGTAGGAATTATAGCAGGGTCTCAGATGGTTGTTCCGTTGTTTGGTTGTTTGGTCAATTTGTATATTATGCTTTTATTATATAGGATAACATCACATAAAATGGCTATAGATTTTGATTCAGGGTGATCACAACAATAGTCTTGCAACTTATTGTTACTTTTTGTTATTGTTAATTCTCACCCAAGGATATTTTTCCATTGATTTTTAGAGAGAGTGAAAGGGAGAGAGAGAAAGAGAAACATCAACTGGTTGCCACCTGCATGTGGCCTGACTGACCAGGGCTGGGGATTGAGCCTGCAACCTAGGTACATGCCCTTGACTGGAAATCAAATCTGAGACAATTTAGTCTGTGGGCTAATGCTCTAACCACTTAGCAACACTTTCCAGAACCTGTCTTGTAATTTATTCAAACATCTGCTATACTTTTGAGTCTTAATTGATTATTTATGTACTAGGGAAGATCTGTTTTGTTTGATTTTGCTTTCTGGTCCTCTGGCATGAGCCCATATTTTCTATTCTCACATCTTTTCTGTTAAACTGTAAAGTTCTATCAAGTAGCAAAATGTTTTTGGTTGCAGCAACTAAAGGAGCATTCTGGGGCTCACAGCTATTCAGTGGTTACTGCAGCCATAGATTTTCAGGCTTCCAATAAGATCCACTTTTTCCTTCAAGATGGCGTGGTCTCCATTTCTGAGCCCCTAGCTCTGTGAGGGGACTCAAAGCTGTCTAAGTCCAGCAGTCATCCACCTTCTCCTGGAGTCTAGCTGTCCCCTAACTTGCCAATAAACACTCCCCATGTGACTCTCAGCTGCTCTTTCTTTCTGCTTTTGGACAAGGCTAGGAACATGTCTGTCTATTCCACCACCATTTTTCTCTCTCCGAAACTTAAATTTTAAAGTGCTTGCCCAGTTCCAGCATTTGCTACCACTGAGTAAGTCTAAATTGAGACTTTACCCCCAAATATTTCCTCAGAAAGAAATCAGTTTAAATTAGAGCTTTTTAATATTTTTTGTCTTATTTGATTTACAACAAAAAAGTTGCAGAGTGGCCTAAAATAACCTTAAGAGATGTGACTTTCGGAATGCTTATGAAAGTCATCTGAAAGCATTGGTTAATAGTATAGGAGGTGAAGGAAGTTGATAAACTATTAGTATTTATTCATAGAATACAAACTCATACTAGTTGTTAAGGGCATTGTAAACAATTCATTTAAAGAT